CAGTCCTCCCTACACCGACCTGATGTTGCATTAAACTCATCTGACCCACTGCACAGTTGCTGATTCAGTCGAGTTTGTTTATAAACTGCCATCTCAGCACAAGTCACCTCAGGTCAACACATGCTGGTGTCAGACCTAACTATCCCTCAGCCTGGGTCCTCGACTCGGGTAGTTTTAAGTAGCAGCAAAGTAGACGTGGAGAACATTTATGCTTTGTGACCCGTACAGCCAAGGATGTCTCAAAGTCCTAGAAATCTGTAGTTGTGCTAAAATACAGCAGGATGTTTTTAACTACCCACCCCACCCTCACCCAGTGAGCCTAGGAGCTGGAGAGTGTTTATGGACTCCAGCTCTGCTAGCGACTAGTCAGGACCTGTTGGATAATAAGGCCACGGGAGAGCAGCTGCATTTGCTCTTCTTTCATTCTCCTCTCACTTACAGGAGAGAGAACCACATCACTGTCTGGAGCCAGAACAGTCATTTAAGGACACAGTCCTCCCACCATGGTGGTGCGAGTCAGCCATATGCCACTCCTCTCTGGTGCCTTCACTTGGTAAAGCCGTTTTATACTTTTAAATCATTTTTTGAGCCAGTATGTACTAAAATTACTTTATAGGGTAAATGAAAAGTCACTTAGCCCCCACCGCCCCCCGTGGCCAGACATTTTCACTTGCAACTTCAGAGTGTCAGTCCAGTCCCTGTTAGTCTTAGTAAAGTGTAGTTGACATACCTGGTGCTGCAGTCTGCTTCTAGCACAATTCCTGCATCTCTCAGGTCACGAACACAACTGAGTTGTTTAATCTAGTGATGAATCACTCCTGTAGACACTAAGGAAGGCTGGGGAGGCATTTCAGCTGTTAGATTAAGGTGTTAAAAAGACTAACGCAGCGAGGAAATGGTTTCATTTTTGGTTTGACTTCCACCTGTGGTAGGCTTCACCTAAACTCACTCTGGTTTTAGATCTTTTATGGTCGCCCCTCTTCTAAGAAGGATAACGACATCTTCTGGGCTCCGAAGCAGCTGCTTGACTGGCCGAGTCCACCATTTCCCACAGTGCCAGCTAGGGCTGGACGATAATTCAATAGTTCAATATCTATCGATAGACATGCGGTGCGATAGAAAAAAGAATGGGTCGATAAAACTTTGATAAAAAAGTTTCCATCTTCATTATGATCAGGTAGCCGCATACTAGACTCACTACCTACTCCTAACCAATCAAAGCCACAGATGAATTGCATGCCACGTCACAAGGTCCTCCCCTCTCAAACAACGCAGGGCATAATGCACAAAGATGTCTCAGCAAGAACAGGTGAAGAAAAAAATAAAACTACCAAAAATTAAATGGCCAGGGGTGCACATAAAATAAATTTTCCACAATTTAAAAAATATTTTTCAACAATTATCGATATCGAATTTTAGGGTTTTTTTAATACCATTTATCTCATCATATGTGTGACCATGTATGTTGTAGCGGAAATCCACATTTTATATCCTCAGGTTAATTTTGTATGGGTTTACACGGTAAAGAACAATAACATTGTCACACAAAGGGTTCTTTCACATTCAGCAGAAGGAAATAAAGAGGGGAATTTGAAACTGGCCCACAGTTGGGCATTCTGGTTAACTCTTACATTTTTCTCCCAGGAACGTAAATTTTACCAAGTGACTTGTTAAGCCGGACATTATCAGGACTTGGTCTGTCTTACCTCAACCTGCCAATAACTGACTCATCCACCCCAGGCCGGGTGCTCGTAAAACTTCTCAAGGTCATTCTGGAAAAGTCCAGGATCTCGCTTTTAACAAAACCCTGGTATTTTTCTGTTTATCTATAATCAAAGAAGGTGTTTAGGTTGTTCACCCTTAAAATAGAAATCAAGGTGCTCTAAGTTAAAATCTTATCAGCCACCGACCTAAACTGTTTGTTTTGGGTTTTCTTTTATTTGAAACCTCTGTCATTTGGTGTTTCTCCAGTTAAAATTCATGCTAATGGTAAAACTGTTCAGTTTTAAGACATGAATTTTATTCTTTCCCGTTTAAAGTAATACTTTGATGCTAAAGTAATACTTTTTGAGGCTTTATATGAATACCTGTGTTAAATTGTGATCATGGATTTTTCCATCTTGGAGAAAGTAGAGTTTATTTGGAAGAGCCACAGTGCCCTCCAGTGGTTTTTGAGTAAGATACAGGTGGGCATGCCCAAAAGGTTACATAAGCACCCATCCGAACCTTGTGGCGGCAGTTTAAGAACAAAGGATGCCTTAAGCTCATTCCCTGCAGGCTGTTTTCCATCTGGCCCAGCAGAACCCGGCGCATTCAAGTGATTAGCTCTCAAAAGTTACGGTAAAACTTCAAAGCTACTCCGTTGTTTTGTTTTGACGTCCCACGCTCAACCGGAAGTCTGCATTTTCGTCAAGTTTTCACATTAAGAGTAAGAGCAATTTGGAACAGTTTGATGATTCGGCTCCGTTTGGAATAATTTGGGCCAGCGATCTGAATTCCACGTTTCGAGGCCGCTGAAGTGAAGGAACCTAAAGTGCAGCCATGCACGGGGAACAAGATTCTCCTGAACCCCAGACACCGTTGAGGTGCCAAAAAGTCCTACGGCCCCTTAAGGCTGCATTCAAGCTTCTGGACCGGCTGAATTCCAGCCCATAGGACACCTCATTTCTCTGTATGTCTTGCACATGTGGTAGAATTGACAATAAAACTGACTTTGACCTCTTTGGCGATGGAGAAAAGGTCTGTGAATCATTTTCATCTGGATGACTTTTCCTGCTAAACCCGATTAGTGAATTCAGACTTAGACTTTATGGCTTGTTATTTTCGATCCAAATTCTCATTTATCTCTCAAGATTGATCTTCTTTCTCTGCTGCACACAAATCCTTATTCACACACACACACACACACACACACACACACACACACACACACACACACACACACACACACACACACACACACACACACACACACACACACACACACACACACACACACACTCACTTGTTCTCCTTACTGAAGTTATTCCTAATAATTGCTATAATCCTATGTGTTACCAAAGTTCCACTTTTATTACAGACTAGTTATGTCATAGCACTGCCATAAAGCCTTGTGTTTATCCACTTACTTATTCTCATGCATGAAACAATAAGCTGTGTTTGGTTCTCTTTGTCAAGTGTCACAACTGATGTTTGTAATAAATTCACAAAACTTAAATCATGCCTGATTATTGCCTAGCAATCTCGAGAATAGCCGGCACATTCTGACAAGAACTCAGTTTCGGATTAAAATGCGGTGTTAACTTTGAGAAGATATAAATATTAGGGATGTAAGAAAATATCGATATGGCAATATATCGTGATATTTTTTCCTGCGATTACTACATCAATATTCAAAAGCCGTGTATCTAATTCTTGAAAGAATTTACATGCAAACATTTGTGTATTTTCTTTTTGTTTTGTGCGATTCAATCGCCACCCGCTAGTTGGCAGCAGTGTGCAACAGGTTTTGTTTCCACCATTGAAATGTAAATCCCTCCATCATGGTTCAGATACCTCATGTTAAACATGTTACGTATCAGTTTGGACTGTTTATTGAACATTCTTCCAATAAATTCAGTAAAAAAATTGCTTGTAACGTCTGACTGAATGTATCGCAATATATCGTGATATGTATTGTATCGCCAGAATTTCAAAAATACACATCCCTGAAAAATATTAAGTCCAGTGTCCCAGTTCACACAGACAAAACTGGGCAGTGCCCCAATTAATTAATATAAGATCATAAACAAGCTAAATCTACGCCACATTTGAAATATAGATATAAATCTATATGTATCGCTACATGTACATGTTTGTTCCCCATTCTGACGATTCACCCACATTCACACACAGTCACCCACAGTTTTGTGTCTGGAGCATTATGTTTCAGTTCCAACTCACGTTGCAGCTGATTGAATGCAATCTTACCACACCACATCATTGTGATGTGTAACCACTCCCATGTGTTTCTATGCTCAATTAAAACGAGCCACGCAGGGGAGAAGTTTGGACTTGGGCACTAGAGTGGAGTCACAACTGTATCCTGTTGAACTTCTCCATTGCTCTCTGCCCTTTGCAAAGCTAAAAAAGACAATACTCGTTTCTGTGTGACTATTAAGTTAGAAAGGAAAAACCCTATCATCAATCAATATAAAAAAATGTATCTATATACTTTTTTTCTGTATCGTCCAGCCCTAGCGCCAGCCTCGCTGTGCCAAGAGGACTGTGGCAATCCACAACAGTGGAGCTATTGGTTGGTTAACATAAACCCAGCGTCGTGCCCGTCAAAATAAATATTCGATTATTTTAAAATTAAAATATAGTTTGTAAATGAAATAGTGTACCTCACACCTGCACCGTCCTGCAGAAAGTCCTTTGAGTGAGATGTTCAGGCTCAGTGTTTCTGACCATAATGAAGATCAGCTTCTGTCAGCTTGGAACACACCATTGAAGCGGCAGCCACTCGCAAGTGACCCAAGTGACCTTCCCACTAGTGGAAGAGAGAGGCCAGAGGCTGGGTGATCCTGGTGCATGCTGCCCCTCTCCAGGTCACACCTGGTGTCTGATAAAAGCATCATGACTGTCTAAAAGCTGCTACCTTTCGTCTTAAAGCAGCCTCGGCCTAATTAATGTTTAAAACTATTTTCTTCAGCCTGTTTCGACCCAGTCTTTTTCCTGTCTACTCTATATGTGTTAAATAGGCTCGCAGAGGGGAAGTCCTCCTGTCTGACCGAGATGACGGCTCCCTCTGGTTAGATTTAACAACAGTTGTACAAACAAAATGAAGACACATTCAACGTTTGCATCTGTAGTGCTGTGCTGGATGAGTAAGACTGTGTGAAGGAGCTTTTCCACTCTGTAAAACAAGAAAATATCCCGAGCATTTGTTTGGGTGACCCTGTAGTTTTTCCACAGCGATCTGCAACCACTGACTCCACGTCTGCTCCTGTGTTTCCCAGGACACGGGGAATGTGACTGTGGGGAGTGTAAATGCCACGCCGGCTTCATCGGAGACAACTGTAACTGCTCCACCGAGACTTCGTCCTGCATCTCCGATGACGGGAACATGTGTAGCGGCCGGGGAAACTGTGTGTGTGGACACTGTCAGTGCACTGAGCCGGGGGCTTTTGGCGACACCTGTGAAAAATGCCCCACCTGTCCCGACGCCTGCGGGACTAAGAGGTAAAGACATTCAGAAGGACGAGACACAAAATCACTTTTCTGTCTTTGAAACCCCACATAGACTGTTTTAAAGTAGGCGGTTCATGATAGTGGAGATGGATGAGGTGGGAAACCAAACCGTCAGTGTCGGTCAGTACAACAGGTCAAAGGTCATGCATACGCAGTCCTCTCGCAGGGTTGTTCAGATAATCCGCTCTGTGATCAGCCGCATGTTGGAGATGAAAGCATGAAGCATTTTCTGTAGAAACATCCCAGGTTTTGTAAATATTTGTCCTGCCATGTTTATTTTCTTTTATATCACATTTATTTATTTGAAGCTGTTTTAGTCACTCGTCTGCTTCTGTTTTACTCGGACAAAAAAGAGTTTGCTCATTATTTAATATTGATGTATTTTAGGGAGCTTCTATATCCTGAAGTATTTATTTCTCAACCAAACTAGGTTTTTCTGCTGCATCTGAGTCTGAGGTTTGACTTTTTCCTGGTTTAACAAATGTAAGCATGGTAGTTGCAGTAACGCGTAACTTTCCTCTGCTTCAGGGAGTGCATCGAATGTCGACTGTTTAACTCTGGGAGACTCGCAGACAACCAGACTTGTCAGCGCCTGTGCAAGGACAAAATCGTCACAGTGGAGAACCTTGGTGGGTAAATACTCACCTAGCACACGAGAGACGTTTAACACCAGAAGCTGGTTTCTCACAAGGCTGCAGCAGCTGGCTATCAGTTACGTTCAGGGAGTTTCCACAGTGTCTCAAAACATTTGCAAAGGTTCTCAGTTTCCTTGTTTGTTTCTCTTGCATCAGTGGGACTTCCATTGAAGGTAGGATAGACATTCTTAAGCTTGGTTTATGCTTGACGCATTTACTTTCCACTTGGTGATGCGGCTCGCGGATGGAACGCGCTTCACAACTCGCAGCGTTTATGGTTCATGTGGCTTGTCTCTGCGGTGAGCCAATATTCTCCCAAACTGTAGGGGGCAGCATGGAGCTCTACGGCATGCATCCAACACTACACCATAGTAGAAGTAAAAATTACTGTTGTTTACAACATGGCATTCCAGCATTTTTAACAGCGTCCTCGTCTTTTCCGACAGTGCGAGCTATTTCTCTCCAAGAATTATTAACAACATGTTGATCACGGTGATCTCTGAGAGCTGAATCATACTAATGTCTATATTTACGAACCTCTACCATACTAGTTCTTGCCAGTCCGCCATGTTTTTCCGTGTCCGACCGTCCGCGTGGTTAGAAAATTTCCTCGGTGCGCGGTGCGGAAAGTTTGGCCCGTGCGGAGGCGCGGTGGAGGGGCGTGGTTGTTAAAATGACGCAATTTTGCCGCGCGGAGCCGTGCGAACCTCGCGGACGCGTCAAGCATAAACCAAGCTTTAGAGAAAACCGTTCACACAAGCAACACTTAAAAAGAAACAACTCTGAGATCCATCCTAAACCCCTGCATTTGATTGGGGTCCTATGGGACCCACATAAATCTTGCAGGAGTAGGTGGCTTTTAAAGAAATTTCAGATCCTGAATTCATGAATAGATGGAGTACCCCTAAAGTAGCTAATGAACATACAACTGGACAGCATAAAATTAAAGAAGAGGGGAGGGGCGATCAGAGACGTTTGATGGAGGGATTCAAATCAATTCATTTCAAGTTTATTTATAAAGCGCCAAATCATGACAAGAATCGTCTCAAGTCACTTCACACAGTAAACATTCCAATACAGGTCAGGTCATTAAGCCAATCAGTAAAAAGTTTCCTATATAAGGAACCCAGCAGGTTGCATCGAGTCACTGACTAGTGTCAGAGTCTTTACAGCAATCCTCAAACTAAGCAAGTATGCAGCGACAGTGGAGAGGAAAACTCCCTTTTAACAGGAAGAAACCTCCAGAGGATCCTGGCTCAGTATAAGCAGCCATCCACCACGACTCACTGGGATCATGATCCACTCAATTAGAAGGGACATTTAGAATGATTGGATGAGGTTTTTCCAGGAATGTACATTTCAGAAGTGATTTATTAATTTTTTGAAATAGCGTTTAATTTATTGGTTGCCATAGGTAGTTGAAGAGCATTTCAAGCAATTCTGGCCCTCCAGGATTGAGAACCCCTGATTTAGACCATCACCTTAAGACGAGTCACTTTATGAGATGTCCTGTCTGAATCTTGCTCAGTCGAAGTCTTTTAAGCAGACACGTCTCGCTCCTGCTGGTGTGTTAGCTGGAAGTGAGGTTGACGCTAGCTAGCTTTCTGTTCAGGTTGACCTTGTCCCTTCAGCTCACTGTGACGGGTCACTGGTTAAACAGTGGGGTTTAATGTAAACAACAGATGAGCAGGGTTATAGGTCATTGCTGATTTAGACCGGTGATTTCAGAGGGGATGGTGGTTATTGGTCTGAAAAAGCAGAATTGTGGACCTTTTTGGTTTCTGCACATTCTGCTCCGTGTCTGGAGCTCAGTTTGGTTATTATGAAGCAGGTGTCTCACAGCCACACCTGCCCCGCTCTAAGCAGACATTCGCCTCCTCCCTCATGAGTAGGGATGCACCAATGGATCGGCATTTGATCGTAATCGGCCGATAGCGCCCCTATCGGTTTTGATCTGAATTTTCAAAACAGATCAAAGCAGACCGATCAGGTAGGGTTGTCACGGTAACCGGTGTAGCAGTAAACCCCGATAAAAAAAAAAGTTGACAATAATAATAACCGTCTTGTTTTTTTAAAAACTATATTATCTTGGTGGGTTACCGTGGCTGCGGTGTAGGCGCGGTGACCCTTACCAGCCACCGTATCATCGGCTGAAGTTGCCGGCGGCACATGCACGCTTTTTTGTTTACGACCAAAACTTTCTTGAAGCTAAAGCTGAAATAATGGTCAAAGGAGGAGACGGCAGCGCTCAGGAGGACATTTTTTATCCCTCAAAGAAGACAAAGTCGGAAATACGGGCATCTTTTGGATATTTGAAGAATGCCGAGGGAGTTTATAGAAGACGGCTATCCTGTTTGCAGCACGTGCAGAAAAAGTGTCTGTGAAAGGCAGCAATGCTTCAAATCTCATGACACATCTGCGTGACCATCACCCACAACTCTACAGTCAACGCAAGGCAAGCTAACGTTAGCGTTTTAGCTAAAATGCGTGATCCGAGGATTTGGGTTGAGGAAGAATGCAACGAGTCGCTATATAAAGCAGCCGCAGCGCCGCTACCTGCATATAAACCGTGTCGCGGACACCCCCATGCTGAAATGACGCTATGCATTACGGGGCTCCCAGGGGCAGATAAGAGTTGGTCTCTCTCCGAGAATAATTATGAATTTAACAATGATTACTGCCTGATGACATTTTCCCACATCTGCAAAGCTCACTGGAAGGACACAAACCGAGGACAAGATTTCCTGATATAGGGTTTATTACTCAAGTAAGGGTAAAAAAGTATCTGATTAGAAGGCTACTTGAGTACTGAGTATCATGTGATCTAATATTTTTAAATGATGACATCAAACAGACAAAAAATAAGAAGTTATGGGCAAATATTGTTATTTTAAAGACTAAAGGGAAAAAATGTAAACAAATAAACAACTTAATTACAAAATAACACATTTTAGGCTAAATTTAGATACAAACTGAGGACAATATTTCCTGACATACAGGGTTTATTTAATTGTGTGAAAATGTAGCCCTTTTAAAAAAAATACCGCGATAATACCGAAAACCGTGGTAATTTTGGTCACAATAACCGTGAGGTTAAATTTTCACACCGTGACAACCCTAATACAGACCATTTTAGATTAGGTTACATTTCCTTTATTCCCAGATTATGTAGTTTGTAGCACTCATTATAATGTTGTAGAAAATTTCTGGCCAATCCACATGATCGGTATCGGTGAACGGCAGCAAAAAACCTGATCGGTGCATCCCTACTCATGAGTACCTACGGACCTCCAGGAGGCGGAGCCTGTGCTTAGTTCCTGCTTCTACACCCCCATGTTTCTGTTGGTGAGCTGTCGGTGATGTCCAGACCTGTATTAATGATCATCTGATGGTTTAGTGACTGCGCTGCGGTAGTTGGACACGTTCCTTAGTGGCCCGGTGTGGCACCAGACCAGATCTGATGTGTTTCAGAGCATTTCAGCTATTTCGACCATCTGAGCAGCCTTGATAGACTCCATATGTACATTCCAGATGCTTTGTGGGTGAAGTAGAGGAGGGTCTGAAGGCGGAGAGTCTTGGGACCTGATCCCAGGGCTTTTTGTGATTGGACAGCAAAGGCTTTCAGGCTGCAGACAAACTAACTTGTCTCTAATTAGTTTCCTGAACATGTCCTCTGTTTGTCCTTGTTCCTCAGAAACGAAAGAGCCCGATGCTGTGCTTTGTTTGTATAAGACAGACAACGACTGCGTCATGAAGTTCACCTACTCCGAGCACGCCAGCGGCCTGTCCTTACTCACTGCTCTTGCAGAACCGGGTAAGTCTAGGGTCACCTCTGCTGTGCTGGCGATCAAATCAATGTTTTCATTTTGATTTCAGCTACAAAACATAAAATAAAAAACGCGATAGAAAAAATAAGTGTTAAACTCACATTTTGATTTGTAATTATGTACTATTTAATTTGATGTCTTCAGAATAACACACTATGCGGCACTTGTTAGCGGGAGTTCGGGCAAAATTTCTACTTTAAAAATTGATCCAAGATTTTACTGCAGCATCTGTAGCTCCATCAATGTCTGGCATTGGATGAGATGCTTTGTCTCCCCTCCTCTCAGAGTGTGGCGGGGCTCCAGACGCCTTCATGGTTTTGCTCGTAGTGGTTGGCAGCATCTTGCTGATCGGAATAGTCCTGCTGGCCATCTGGAAACTGGTCATCACCATACACGACCACCAAGAGTTTGCTCGCTTCCAAAGTGCACGCTCACGTGCTCGATATGAAATGGTAAGAATGCTTTATTTACATTGTGATGTGATTCTCATCCACGGAGGATCCAGACTTTTCTTCCTAGGGTTCAAGTCAGACAGCGAAGCCGAGTCCCACCTCAGAACGACTACCTCACCGTCGTTGACTAGTCTGGTTTAAAGTGGCAGTGTGTAGTTTCCTGCCGCTAGGGGGCGGTACAGACATTTCAGGGTAGTTTTACACATCATCTTCCTGACTCTTGCTAGTTTAAAAAACATTACAGTAAACGTTACCTGCAGAGCAGAAAGCTTGGTGTGATTCCTCAGACTTTCCGGTTGGCAGTCACGGTAAAAAGGCTCATTAAAACACAAACGTCGCAAATAATAAAAGCCATGAAGCCAAATGCAAAGTTGCAGATTTTAAAGACACAGGTGCGCTGTGCGATTTTCAGCTGCAGGTAGCTACTCCGTTTTTGCCAAAATCGAGAGCAAAACTTTAGCAGCTGGGCGTGCTAAGCTAGCAGGCCTGTCAGCTGAAACAGGCGATTGTGGTCCAATTCTGTCACAGAACTGGCCGGCCCACATAATCGAACGTTCGTGATCATTCGTATTAATATTTCGGACAATTTAGCGTGGACAATTCGTGTTGCATGGACGCTATTCCATTTTAAAAGCTTATATTTACTGTCGCAATCGACGATAGTCAAGCTACGGAAATTTACCAGTGATCAGATGGTAATCTGGAAGCGAACTTCCGGTGGAGATATTTCTATCTCCATACACAAGTTATACGCAGTGTCACGAAACACTCAGAATAGCAAATATAAACATTTATTTACATTCAAGATGACAGCAGGAAAAGTCCATTCTTTGTGCTAGAAACTCCAACATAGCTTGAGGTGAAATCAAAATGGCTGCGATATGACACGTCACCTTAGATAAAGAGAGATGAATCTGCGCCTCCTTGTGGGAGGTGAACAGTGTCACACCCCCTTTTGACTTTAAATGGAGAGAGCTGCACTCTAGTGAGAGTACGAGATCATCCCATTTTCAACCAGAAACATTCATTTTAGTGTTTACTGTTTAAAAATGTCATGAAGTGTCCAAAATGTACAAATATCAGGCTATAGCTCGCCATTAGCAGAACACTGACCCAGAGGTTCCCTGATCGAATACATGTAACGACCGCTAGTGACTAATGCTAGCGGCTAGCCACTATAATCAAGTATGGTGTGCTTCCAGCGATGCCCCCAGAAAATTTTGCTAAGGGTGGTCAGATGGGGCAAAAGAAATGTTTAATAAACCGTATGTATCCAAAAGTCAAATTTGAGAAACACAAGCATTTCAGAAAAATAAATTTTAGTTATCTGAATTTTTATATAAAAAATTTATTTTAGAGTTTGATTTATCGGCTCAATTCACCAGATATGAACGTTTTTAAGATGGTAAGCAGCAGAAACGTATAAAAACATTTTGTATTCTGATTATTTCTTTACTCATTAAGTTTATAATTTTTTATTGGGTTTCACAATTATGTCTTGAATATAAATAAGGTGAATTTATGGTTTGAGTGAACATTAATATTATTTTTAAAACTGGTCTTCCCTGGGGGGCTCCAAAATTTTCAAGGGGTGTCAATGGCCACCCTTTAGGAGTGGCACTGTGCTTCTTCAAAGATTCATAATAGTCTATGTCCGCATGTTAATACATCGATTATTAGAATATTTCCCTCCGCTTTGCTGAGCAACGCCAGCTAAACAAACCAACTTAAACTTGCTCTGATTGGTTCGTCTGTGTGTCTGTTGTACTGACAGAAGCAGACCAGCAAACCTCGTTACTCGGCTGAGAAAAAATGTGTGCCTGTAGACGTGTCCAGAAATAATGGCACAGGTGATAGAACGCAAATAGACGGTTCTATGATCTCCAAGCTTTGGTAGATTGTCATCACTTTACAATCCTTGATGATCTTATATCATCAGACCGCACGTCCATAGCTTCAGGGTGTGGTTGTGAACATCTGTGCTAAGATGAGAGGAAATCCATCAATCTAAAATACTGATGTTAACCTTTCAACCCTTTAGCACCCCCTATTGGTGAATCTTAATAAGAGTCAATACACAAGGCCAAGATCTCATTCCTCATGAAGATGTGAAGTCTAGTCATCAGTTTTAAAAAATGGTGGAGATGAAGTCGTGTGCTAGCTAGCGCTACGCGTTTGTTGTTTCTAGTACAAATTAAATAATTTTTACTGTTTATTTTTCGTTAGATTTTGTTAGCTTGGTGAATCGATCATATCCACCAAGTCTGACTTTGATACCATGCCGTACCACACGATGTTGGAGAACTCACTAAAACTAGGTTCTGTCTTTTTTGACATGGCAAAAGTCAAGTTTGGTGGAAGTGGGTGTGGCCAATACAAACGTGATGCAAAGTCATCCAAGGATCAAAGAGATATAAAGTTAGAGTGTGCGACTTATGGTTTAGGAGTTATTAGCTAAAGTGTGTTGACCTTTGCAATAGCACCACCTAGATGGTGATGTCTGAGAAAAGTAACGCCATACCTCCCCTGATCTAGCTAGCTTACGAAAGAATAAATGGAGACAGAACATTAAGGGGCCTGCCACTGTACATGGCAGGCCCCTTAATAACCTACAGAAACTCAGAACACTGGTTTTCCTACAGAATGCAACCATAAGCTGTTCTTTTGCCTCTCAGGCCTCCAACCCACTGTACAAGCAGCCAGTCAGCACACACTTTTTGGAGTCAGACTTCAGCATGTTTGGGAAGTCCTACAACGGTGGGGTCCACTGATCCCCCAACACAAGGCACGGCAGGACCGGTCCGACTCACAGATCCCCGATGGAGCTCGCTCCTCCCCTCTCCTCTCCTCTCTGCTGAGTCCACAGGAGTTGTCCTCTTGCAGCTACTGAGGAGATCCCAACTGAGGTGTGACTTCTTCACCACCGTGCTGCAGAGGATCATGAGCTGAACCCACGAAGAAGACTGAGACAAATTCAATCTGCAGTCAAACAAAAGCCAAGCAGCAGATCATCGGATCACTTTTGTATATTTTTCTAAACACATTTATAGTTTGAACTCGTTCAGCAGAACTCTGATTAGCTTCAAATAACACAATTCTGGAGGAACGTCCAATCGTTCGGTACTAATATTGACTAAGAAACGGGCTTTTTGCACAATGAATTTTAATAGTGTGTGTGTGTGTGTGTGTGTGTGTGTGTGTGTGTGTGTGTGTGTGTGTGTGTGTGTGTGTGTGTGTGTGTGTGTGTGTGTGTGTGTGTGTGTGTGTGTGTGTGTGTGTGTGTGTGTGTGTGTTTGCACATCATTCTATTCATTTGAATGGTACCAACGTGGCCCTAAACCAGTGACGTTGACGTCATCTCTCTGGTTTATTTTTCCTGACACCAGCGCCTGAATTCTTAATCCTGCTTTGGGCCAAAACTCGCCCTCCACCCCTGGATGAAGTCGCTAAGCTGCAGAGGACTCTTCTGTATTCAGATTTTTGAACATAAGAGCTCCTCTTGACTTTCACCAGAGCCTCGGTCAGACACCATCTGATGTGGCACTTACTCTGCCCTGTTGTGTGTAGATTTAACCTGCTGTCATCGGCTAAAGGTCAGAGGTCACGCTGACCTACAGGCCATTCCTTTAAACCATTTGAAGATTAAAGTTTTACACCTCACTTATTCACTTCATCTCCACAGTTTTCCAAAGCCAACATTGTTGAAGCGCTGTCATGAGTACCTACTGCTTCCTCAAACTTCATCCTGAAAATCATGTTTACTGGAATTCAAATCAGATGTTTGATATGTCGATAAGAATTAAAGCGGTTTTTGATGATTTATATTTTTGTGAATGAATGCCAATACACTTTTTTTCTCTTGATTTCATAGACTATCTTTAGTTGCACATCTATTATTTAGTTTTCTGGAATTAAAGTATCACTGGTATTAATGCCCAAATGGCTCCTCCCAACCAGAGCTGGTCTGTTCCCAGTGTGTTGGCCCTCACCGCTGTGGGAGTGGATGCATGTATGGTGTGTGTGTGTGTGTGCGCGTGTGCACATCTCTGAAATCGGAGTGTTTTCTTTGAGTCTTTGCACATTTGACTAAAACTACTGCAGCAGAAACATTTATGTGAGTCCGGTCCATACTCGAGTCCACCAGAGGACTCCCACCCCTCCATGTCGGCATAACTCTGCACAAACAATAAATGGCTTCAATCGGTACCTTTGGTCTTGCTGTGTTCTGTTTTAGCGCATATTCCAGTGAACATGAACTGTGTGTAGCATGCCACCCTCCTGCTGAAAACCCCCACAGCATGATTCTGCCACTGCCATACTTCACAGCTGGGATGAATAGAAAGGTTAAGTCTTGTCCCACATCTGTGGTTTTTTTTTAAGTCGCTGCTGAGCTGCATTCATTTATCCTCCATGGCCACATCATGATGCTACCAGCACCATGCTCAACAATGGGATGTGGTTCTGGGGTAGTGAAAGTTCCGTTTCTGTTTCTGGATGTTGTTGGAGTCACAGAGGTACTATAGATGTAGTGCAGTAAGTGGCTGCTGGATGGTATTTGAGATGTTTGCTCTCATGGGAGATTCTGCAGTAGCTCTGCTGCTCCTGACAGGGTGAAATGTCCATTGCTACAGGGACATGCTGATGCAGGACTCAGATGAACACTGGTCGTGACGAGGACAATGAGGTTAAAAACTGACAGCCAGTATTTATACAGCACTCTCTAGCACCCTGGAACCCCCCAAAGCCCTTTAGTCAGTCATTCACACTGGTGGTGATGAGCTAAGATGTAGCCACAGTTGCTCTGGCGCACTGACAGAGGCTAGACTGTAGTACACAGGTACCGGTCCTTCTGACCATCACCAGCAGGTACGGAGGGTCATGCTCAAGGACACAACTGTAGCAGACTGAATGGGGAACTGAACTACAACCCTGTGGCTGAGGGAGAGGCGTCTGCCGCTTTCCCTGGTGATGACCTGGTAAAATATTTTACTGGCCAGAGGAAGGACAGCACATTGACTGTAGAGGACTGGTTTTAACCTAAAATATTCAGTTGAACATCAAAACATCTTGGCTTGCCTGTAAATGACTTAATGAGTGTGCAGATGCATTCACACACACACACACACACACACACACACACACACACACACACACACTCACGGTTCCTGGGGCCATAGTTGGTGAAGTGTCATCACTGAAGTAACTGCTTAAATTGTACATATTACACTAAAAAGTCATGTGGTCAGCTAGATGTCTTCATGTGAGACAAATCCAGCCACAAGTAAACGACATATTTCATCATGTCAGACTAGAAAACACAACCAGAGCTCAGAGACACGTGCAGCTTCCTTGTGACCACATCATTTTCATGACCCCCCCCCCCCCCCCACACACACACACACACACACACACACACATCTCTGCAGATACTCCTCACAGAAAAGTCCAAAGGAATTTCCTGTCCTAATTTTCAGCCAGAAATATAGTTCAGATTGATGTAGCCTTCATGAGGAATAATGGAGCCGAACCTATTTGGAATTTGTCTTTCTTTAAAGCATCATCATAAAAAACCTACAAAGAGAACCCAGACCTTTTATAATGATGACGTTTTGTTTAAACTAGTCAGAAGTTGGTCTCTGAATGACAAAAGGGAAAAAATCCAGTGGATGCTTCTAATGTCCTACCCTCTGCTGCTCCCTGGTGGCTAAACAATGTGCTTTACTTAATCTAGACGGATGGATAGTAGAGTGCTTCTCTTTTCGTTGTGGCAACCCGCTGCCACATCTCTCTCTCTCTCTCACACACACACACACACACGCACACACACATGGCTGGTCTCAATCTTTCAAGCTTGGGTCTTCTACCAGAGGCCTGGGAGCTTGAGGGTTCTGAAGTATCTTAGGTGTTCCTAGATCTCTTTTCTGGACTGAGATATCCGATGTTTTCCTGGGATCTGCTTTAGCCATTTTCCTGATGTTGCATCACTTGGTATCGCCACATCAACCACAACGGCTGTCCTCTGTTGTTTGTCCACCACAATGTCCGGTTGGTTCTCCATCACCATTTTGTCAGTCTGGATCTGGAAGTCCCACAGGAGCTTGGCTCTCTCATTCTCAACCACCTTAGGGGGAGTTACCCAATTTGACCCTGGGGCTTCCAGTCCCTGTCCCAATACTCTGCACAGATGTTTCTGTACAAGATGCCAGCCACTTGGTTGTGGCGTTCCATGTATGCTTTCTCTGCCAGCGTCTGACACCCTGCAGTTCAAGTTCAAGTTTATTTATGAAGCGCAAAATCACGACGACCAGTGCCTTGAGATGACCAGAGTCGTCTCAAGGCACTTCACATAGGTTCAGTGCTTGGACCAATTCTTTTTACTATATATAGGCCCCCATTTGGTAAAATCATTAGACAGCATGGGATAAACTTTCATTGTTATGCTGACGATGCTCAGTTATATTTATCCATTAACCCTGATGAACCTAATCGGTTAGTTAGATTACAGGTTTGTCTTGAGGACATAAAAAATTGAATGACTCTAAACTTTTTGCTTTTAAATCAAGACAAGACGGAAGTTCTCATCTTTGGACCAGAAATCCAGAAAATGAAATTGCTTAGTCAATCACCTGACCTGAATGGCATTAAATTAATTTTCGAGAACAAAGTAAGGAACCTTGGTGTTATCTTCGACCAGGACATGTCATTCAAATCCCAGGTTAAACAGGTTTGTAGGATTTCCTTTTTCCACCTTCGGAATATTGCTAAGATTAGAAGCATCCTTTCCAGGAGTGATGCTGAAAAACTAGTTCATGCATTTATTACATCAAGACTGGATTACTGTAATTCATTACTCTCAGGAAGTCCACAGAATGTAGTTAAAAGTCTTCAGCTTGTCCAAAATGCTGCAGCTAGAGTTCTGATGAGAATTAAAAAGAGAGATCATATCTCTCCTGTTTTAGCTTCCCTACACTGGCTACCTGTTGAATTCAGAATAGATTTTAAGATCCTCCTTCTCACATATAAAGCTCTCTTAATAATCAAGCTCCATCATACATCAGTGACCTGATTGTTCCATACGTTCCTAACCGAGCACTTCGCTCTGACTGCAGGTTTACTGGTGGTTCCCAGAATATCTAAAAATAGGGCGGGAGGCAGATCTTTTAGCTATCAGGCTCCTCTCTTGTGGAACCAGCTCCCAGCTTTAGTCCGTGAGGCAGACACCTTGTCTACTTTTAAGACTAGGCTTAAAACATTTTTTATTTGATAGGGCCTATGGTTAAAACCTGATGTTAGCCTATATCTGGACAAGTGGGGGAGTAGAGGGAGGTGGAGTGTACAGTCGGTAAAGACGGCTCTCCCTTGCCCTGCCTCCAACATGCCTCCATCTAAAAAGGCTAGGTTATCCAGAGTTATCTCTGTAGTTATGCTGCTATAGGCTTAGACTGCTGGAGGATACACTGACCCCTTTCTACACTTGACTATATTCTTCTACAATCTGCTCTTTAACTGTATTATTTCCTGCTATTTCAGCTGTTAACTTCATTTTTTTCTCTAAGTGTTTTTCTCCCCAGAATAAGCTACAATGATGTTCTGCTGAGCTGTGGTGGCCTCATGGAGGGGGCCATCGTCTAGCACACTGCTGCTAACCACTTAAACATTCTCCCTCTCCTGATAATAACTTTTTGCTTTCCTTGACGTTGGATGTGCTAATGCTAATTTATCCGTTTAATTATAGATTCACTAGGATAAATACAATAAAGTTTATCTCTCGCCAAATAGAATATTTACTAAGAAATCACAATGTAACCATAGACACATTGCTTGGTGTGTGTGTGTGTGTGTGTGTGTGTGTGCGTGCGTGCGTGTGTGTGCGCGTGTGTGCGTGCTCTGTCTTCTCCATCCCCAGTGAGTCATGGTGGATGGCTGCTTATACTGAGCCAGGATCCTCTGGAGGTTTCTTCCTGTTAAAAGGGAGTTTTCCTCTCCACTGTCACTAAATGCTTGCTTAGTATGAGGATTGCTGTAAAGTCACTGACTGGCTTAATGAACTGACCTGAATTGGAATGTTTATTATGTGAAGTGCCTTGAGACGACTCTTGTCGTGATTTGGTGTTATATAAATAAACTTGAATTCAATTGAATTGAATAGTAAACATTCTAATACAGGTCAGTTCATTAAGCCGATCAGTAAACAGTTTCCTGTATAAGGAACCCAGCAGGTTGCATCGAGTCACTGACTCGAGTCAGAGTCTTTACAGCAATCTTCATTCTTCACAAACCAGCAGATCAAAATCTTAGTCAGAAAATGAATACATGTAATCACCCCTGATTAGATTATTAGAGGCACTGGAGCTGCTTGATTTTTAAGGTAATAATAAACCAGGAAAGCTAATGGCTTCCTCATATTTCACTAATAAAACGCCACTATATATTAGCTAGATACTAAGTTTTTAGGTAAGTGTTTTAAGAATTATGGCAGAAAAGGTGTCGACACCTCCTCTGCCCAGAGAGAACGATTCAGATTGCTGTTTCTTGGTTAAACTGCTACTGAGGTGGCATGACTTCATCCAAGAAATGAAGCCATCTTGAAAACCACAGCAAACAAAAAAACACCCAGACCAGTCAAAGGCTTTCTCTGCATCTAGAGACGACTCCTTCTGTGTTCCGTTCATTTGTTGTATGAACACTGTTCAGTAGCCTTCTAACACCGGTACTGGAGCGTCTTCCTTTCATAAACCCGTCTGCACAGTTATTATTTGTGGTAAAATTTTCTCAAGTCTAGTTGCCAGGATCTTAGATAACGTTTGTAGTCCAGTGAGATTGGATAAGAACTACACAGTAGATCTCTGTCTTTTTTAACTAGACTGTTATTGCAGCTGTGTTGAAGGGAGGTAGCCTAAGGTCAGTGATTGATTGTAGGTATTTTGTAACAAAGGAGAAAGCTATACCTGGTGCTTTGCTGGTTCTCAGTAACTTAACGGCCTCGTGCATTTCTGTCATAGAAATCCTAACATCGAGTGTTGTACGACCCTCAGGAGAAAGAGTGGGAAACACTGGTACCAAGAACATTATTCATCTCTTCTTGTACTTTAGTGGCGAGATGCGCTGCAGATGCCTGACCAATCTGATGAGCTAGCAAATAGCTTTATCCTCATGTTCGTGGTCGTTCTAGCAGGCTTTGAGGCTCCGACTGTAGATAACAAGTCATTCTCTGTAGTTGGACTTAAAGGCCGGAGGATGGCTGTGGCTTTTTAAATAGGCTACTGATATTTATTTGGCACATTCACCACACATGATGATAAAAGGGCTATTTCAGTCAGCAGTATTCACATATGCTGCTGATTTTATCCCATCTCTGTGCTTTTGTCCACTTTAATTCTCAGAAACTAGAAATGAATTAGAAAATGATTTTATTCTTTTATTCTCTCGACCGGAAAAGGGTGGCTTGCCAACTCCGGGTCGGGAGAGAGGTCCTGCCTCAAGTGGAGGAGTTTAAGTATCTCGGGGTCTTGTTCACGAGTGAGGGTAGGAGGGATCGGGAGATCGACAGGCGGATTGGTTCGGCGTCTGCAGTGATGCGGACGCTGAGCCGATTTGTCGTGGTGAAGAGGGAGCTGAGCCAGAAAGCCAGGCTCTCGATTTACCGGTTATCTACGTCCCAATCCTCACCTATGGTCATGAGCTTTGGGTAATGACCGAAAGAACGAGATCGCGTATACAAGCAGCCGAAATGAGTTTCCTCCATAGGGTGGCCGGGCTCAGCCTTAGAGATAGGGTGAGGAGCTCGGACATTCGGGAGGGACTTGGAGTAGAACCGCTGCTCCTCCGGATCAAAAGGAGTCAGTTGAGGTGGTTTGGGCATCTGGTCAGGATGCCTCCTGGACACCTCCCTGGCGAGGTGTTTCGGGCATGTCCTGCCGGCAGGAGGCCCCCGGGTCGACCCAGGACACGTTGGAGAGGTTACATCTCCAATCTGGTCCGGGAACGCCTTGGGGTCCTGCCGGAGGAGCTGGTGGAGGTAGCCAGGGAGAGGACGGTCTGGAGCTCCCTAGTTGGGATGCTGCCCCCGCGACCCGGACCCGGATAAGCGGAGGAAGACGATGATGACGATTTTATTCTTTAATCGTTGCAGACAGTAGTAGAAGCATGTCTGTGCATCACTCTTTGCTCATGAACAGAGCATGTGCATGCTTTTGGGAATTTAAAGTAAAATGACAAAGTAGGAAAACCTTCTCCATCTGTCCTGTGATTCAGATCCAAAACATGTTACGGTCATCCAAAATAATGGGACAAATCATGTGATCTGTGCTGTGAAAGAAAAGCCCAGTTTAACGGCAGTTTTGTTGTTCAGACGCATGAGCCGGAGCTGTTCTGATTTAGTGTTGCTCTTTATTAAACGGAGAGACAGATTACAGTTTTAGCTTATATCAGAAAGGACTTTCAGAAGTGTTTGTGTTCAGCTGATAACGGGCGACATCACCTCTCCGTCTCCTGATAAGAACGTTAGCTGATTTGTTTTACCGCTGCTGCAGTCTGGATGGATGGAGAGCAGTACGTAGACCTTGGAGCATGTTCACAGACTCAGAGCTGTTATCAGTTTACATTCTTCAGAAACTAGGTCTCTGTGTGAGGAACTCGGGATGAGTCACAGCTCAGCGCTGACCACCACAGAGCACAGAAACGGTCCCGGCGTGACCTACAGCTGGGTTCTGACTACTGGCAGTGACATCCTCCAGAATCAAGCAAGCTCTGCTCCAGAAACCAGTTGGATGTGGTGATGTCACAAAGCATCATTCTAGCAGAAATAATGACCGTTCTCAAACAGGTTCTCCGTTACAAACCAGTCTGTTTAGAGGTTTAATACCATGTTTAGTACTGAACTCAGCAGGTTCACTTCCTGTATCTGTCCTTTACTAAATCCCACCAAAGGGCGCTTCAAAAAATACTTCTTTTGTCAGGATTCAGGGTTGATGTGTGCAGGAAGGACCCAAATGAAGAGCAAGAACTAGGAAGGATGTAGAACCGAGCAGAACCCGAAGGCTGCCCACGAGACAGACATGATGTCAGCAGCATAAATGATTTAACGATCTTGTGTTTTTGCGTAACAATGACACAGACAACTGCTCAAACCCTGCATGAGTCCGGCATGGAAATAAATCCTCCATTAAAATGCAGTTTTCTAAAACGCAGTATGTCACAATGTCTGAGCGGGACTTTCCATGTGTGGGCTGAACTGGGTGAGGTACTGGAACCAGCTCAGGAGAATTTACCAGTCAGTCACTGGTCTGCTCTGTTTTAGCAGCATGTGACATCATCACAGCCAACATTCAGCTCGGTGGTTTTATAGAAAACTTGTAAACTGCTGCTGACCAGTAAACTTTTCACAGTCAAAGTGTGTCGTGTTTAAAAAGCAACACTTTGTGTGACAGCAGCACGAAGACCTAGTTCTGTTCAACTATGTGAATGCTTCCTCTGTCTCTGGAAATGTGGGGGACAGAAAACATCTGGACAGCCTCACACAGCGCTGCAGTCACCCCACCCCCACCCCCACCCCCCGGCCTGTTTTTGGTGAGTAACTCATCTGCAGGAGGGCTGAGCAGCCGCTCCAAGTCTCCCGTAGAAACAGAACTCACTATGTTGCTCTAGTCTGGGTTTTACCAGTCTCCTCGTGCGGGAAGAAAAGTGTCTTTAAACATAAAAAAGTTTCCTTCTTTCACCAGATTATACCAGGTTACATATAAAACACTAAATGTCCAATGATGGAACCATGTGGAACCCCACGGGTCACCCGGCATTAAGCTGTTTTACCAGAAGACGCCCAACGTTAGAACTAATGTTCACATTTGTCTAACTTGTACAGAATTAAGCCAAAACTTCCTACATCAAAAGGAGAAATTATTGGTGGGGAAAAACCTCTGTTGACCAACATTTCAGCTTTTGGCTGGTTAGTCTCATTTTGTTCTTCTCTGACATCCAATAACAATTTGAGTAAATAAACCATCTTTTAGTGCAGACCTGCAGTCAATTATCTCAGGGCTTACTGCTCCCCTCCTCCTCCTTCTGTGGGAGGTAGCGGTCTGAGTATAAAAGGCAGCGGAGTGACAGAGCAGCTGGAAGCATCTGTAAGAGGCGGCTGCAGGATGCACGTCTTAGCTCTCCTCTGGGCCTGTGGCCTCCTGCTGAACGAGGTGCAGGCTTGGGGCTTTAAAAATGGAATATTTCACAATTCAATATGGCTGGGTAAATATTTACATCTCTTATTTAAACAGAATGGAGTCATTTCTACTTTACGTTGTGACGACAGATTGGTTAGTGGTTGTTATTCCCCACATTGCCTGAAGGAAAATGAGTTAAAGGATGTACAGAAGTCCAGCAGCTTGAGCCAAACAGCCTGTTTTACAACCAGGCTGGGACTCAAATAGCCTGTAAACATGTGAATTCCTCTCAGAGCTATTTTAACCCAAAGAAAAGGTATTTTCATATGAGAACGTGTGGTTATGTATTGTTTAGGTTTAAGCATCCACCATCTCATTTCTCCTAATGTGCACTCTGCACTGGGTGGTTTGGGAAGAAATGGTTGTGGCTGAAGATCAAGGAGAAGTTTCATTTCTTTGACAGAACGAGCAGCCGGAGTTTACCATCGGGAATCACGCAAAGGAAGATACCAGCTGACTTTGAAGGAGGCCAAGGCCGTCTGCAAGTACGAGGGTGGGAAGTTGGCCACTTATGAGCAACTGGAGGCAGCACGTCAAATAGGTCTGCAGCAAACACAATCCAGGCTCTCATTTTAACCCCGAGTCCACAGAAACTGATACTGTGCTGTAACTACGGGAACCATTTAAAGCTGAGTTTGAACAGCCCTGCAGGTGTCATAAAATCCTCAGTTTGCTACATCACAGCACAACAATGAAGGCCTGTCTTTGGTCCATGGGCTTTGCTGATTGTGATCTAAAACCTTGCTGATGAGTATCTTCAGCAGCCTGTCCCTTTAAAGAGGCAGAGTGGTGTGTTTCTGGTTGGGCTGCAGCACAACAACATGGCGTTGCTCTTGTTTTCAGGGTTCCACGTGTGCGCAGCAGGATGGTTCGATAAAGGCCGGGTTGGCTACCCCATAGTCAAAGCTGGCACCAACTGTGGCTACGGGAAAGTTGGCGTCATCGACTACGGATACAGGCTGAACAAAAGTGAGAGATGGGATGTTTACTGCTACAACCCAGACTGTGAGTACAATAAACACCTTCATGTCAACAACCTGAAGCCTCATGGTACCTAAACGCTTTCTGTCTTCTCCTGCTGAAGCTCTAAGGGTCAGGGGGATGGTTGGAGGGAAATTTAATTCAAACAGGAGTTTGCAGCAGCAAGATGATTTAAACACAGATTTTTATCTGGATCTGTGAACGAGTACGCCGTCGCAACATAAATGCGTATTTTCATAACCTTGGTGGATAATCTGACTCCGAGCAGCGTTTCTCTGTGACTAACTAATAAGCACTGATAAACTCTTGTTTTTCTTATTCTTCTAAATGCTCGGATGGAATGACCTGTTGTCTGGATTAGAGTGGAGGTGGACTCAGTTCGTCACACTTCAAACGTGTTTCTAAGGTTTCACTATAAGAGCCAGGGTCCTGATGTCAACAACCCGAGCATCATCAGGTCTGAGGCACCCCGAGTCACTCAGGCAGCTGTCAGCACTTCCGTTTTGAGTCAGGAGATGAAGAATGGACCAGCGTTCCTGTTCTGACTCAAAACCACAGCCTCAGTCCCACCATGCCAGTTCCCAACATGTAGAGCAGATGTTAAGAAAAAGTTCACTTTCAGTTCACCAGGAAGATGAAAGTCCTCCTAAAGGTAGTAGGAAAGGCTGGGATTGAACCAACAACCCTCTGGCTGCTGGTCGTAGCTCAAGCGCTCTTTTCCTGTTCAGCCATTTTTGCTGATAGGTTTAAAATCCTCATAAAACCTAAATGTAATCCCAGCTTTAGCTCAGAGGACGCAACTGCTGTGCTTTAGTTGATATGATGTAGAGTTTAAAATTAGATCAACAACCTTTTTCTCCCTTTTGCTCCTTTTTTATTTTATTTTTGTTACATCTCTCATATAAATCTAAAGATCCCTCATGAAGAAAAACAAATGGAAACCGTGTTCCCTCGCCCGGATGTGGGTCACCGGGGCCCCCCTCTGGAGCCAGCCCTGGAGGTGGGGCACGTTGGCGAGCGCCTGGTGGACGGGCTTTCACCATGGAGCCCGGCCGGGCACATCCCAAAGAGGAAATGTGGGTCCCCCTTCCCATGGGCTCACCACTCGTGGGAGGGGCCAAAGGGGTCGGGTGCAGTGTGTGACAGGTGGTAGATAAGGGCGGGGACCTTGGCGGTCTGATCCTCGGCTACAGAAAATGGCTCTTGGCACATGTTAATGTCACCTCTCTGGTGGGGAAGGAGCCTGAGTTGGTGTGTGAGGTTGAGAGGTTCCGACTATATATAGTCGGACTCACCTCAACGCATGCCTCTGGCTCTGGAACCAGTTTCCTTGAGAGGGGTTGGACTTTCTACCACTCTGGAGTTTCTTCCACTGAGAGGCGCCGAGCAGGGGTGGGCACACTAGTTTCCCCCCATCTTGGTGCCTGTACATTGGGGTTTACCCCGGTGAATGAGAGGGTAGCCTCCCTCCACCTACGTGTGGGGGGACGGGTTCTGACTGTGGTCTGTGCTTATGCACCAAACTACAGTTCAGACTACCCACCCTTTTTGGAGACCTTGAAGGGGGTGCTGGAAAACACTCCTTCCGGTGACTCTCTCGTTCTGCTGGGGGACTTTAATGCTCACGTGGGCAACGACAGTGAGACCTGGAGAAGTGTGGTTGGGAGGAATGTCCCCCCTGATCTGAATTCGAGTGGTGTTTTTTATTGGACTTCTGTGCCAGTGATGGATTGTCCATAATGAACACCATGTTCAGACGTAAAGGTGCCCATATGTGCTCTTGGCACCAGGATACCTTAGGCCGTAGTTCGATGAACGACTTTGTTGTTGTTTCTTCTGACCTGCGGCTGCATGTCTTGGACACTCGGGTGAAGAATGGGGCGGAGCTGTCAACTGACCACTACCTGGTGGTGAGCTGGGTTTGATGGTGGGGGATCTGGCAGGCCCAGATGCATCGTGAGGGTCTGCTGGGAATGTCTGGCAGAGTCTCCTATCAGAAGGAGCTTCAATTCCCACCTCCGACAGAACTTCCAAAACATTACGGTAGAGGCGGGAGACATTGAGTCTGAGTGGACCCTGTTCCGTGCCTCCAATGTTGAGACGGCCAACCAGAGCTTGGGCTGCAGGATCGTCGGTGCCTGTCGTGGTAGCAACCCCCGAACCCGCTGGTGTACACCGGTGTTTAGGGATGCTGTCAAGCTGAAGAAAGAGTCCTATCAGGTCTTTTTGGCCTGTGGGACTCTAGAGGCAGCTGATGAACACCGGCAGTCCAAGCAGAATGCGGCTCGGCTAGTCATGGAGGCAAAAAATCGGGCGTGGGAGGGGTTCAGTTAGACCATGGAGCACAGCTTCGAGGTGATTTTGGTCCCTAATACAGTGCCTCAGAAGGGGAAAGCAGTGCACTAGCAACACTGTTTATAGTGGGGATGGTGTGCTGCTGACCTTTACTCGGGGAGTTGTCGATCGGTGGGCAGAATACTTCGAAGACCTCCTCAATCCCACCGACACGTCTTCCAGTGAGGAAGCAGAGTTCGGGGACTTTGAGTTGAGCTCTCCAGTCTCTGGTACTGAGATCACTGAAGTGGTCAAAGAGCTCCTCGATGGTAAGGCTCTGGGGGTAGGTTAAATCCACCCGGAGGTCCTTAAGGCTCTGGATGTTATAGGGCTGCTGACGCGGCTCTGCAATATTGTGTGGAGAACAGGGGCAGTTCCACCAGAATGGCAGACCAGGGTGGTGGTCCCCTTATTTAAAAAGGGGGGCCGCAGGGTGTGTTCCAACTACAGGGAGATCACACTCCTGAGCCTTCCTGGTAAGGTCTATTCAGGGATTCTGGAGAGGAGGTCCATCGGATTGTTGAACCTCAGATTCAGGAGGAGCAATGTGGTTTTCGTCCTGGCCGTGGAACACTGGACCAGCTCCTTAGGGGGATCCTGGAGGGTGCGTGGGAATTTGCCCAACCAGTCTACATGTGTTTTGTGGATTTGGAAAAGGCGTTTGACCGCGTCCCTCGGGGGGCCCTGTGGGGGGTACTCCGGGAGTATAGGGTACCAGGCCCTCTGATACGGGCTTTTAGGTCCCTGTATGACCGGTCCGCATTGCCGGCAGTAAGTCGAGCTCATTTCTGGTGAGGGACTCCACCAAGGCTGCCCTTTGTCATCGATTCTGTTCATAACCTTTATGGAGAGCCAAGATTTGGAAGGGATCCGTTTTGGTGGCCTGAGGATTGGGTCTCTGCTTTTTGCAGATTATGGGATCCTGTTGGCATTTTCGAACAGTCATCTTCGGCTTTGATTGGAGCCGTTTGCAGCCGAGTGTGAAGCAGCTTGGATGAGAATCAGCTCCTCTAAATCCGAGACCATGGTCTTGATTCAGAAAAAGATAAAATGCCTTCTCCAGGTCAGGGATGAGGTCCTGCCCCAAACGGTCTTGTGGTCTTGTTCACGAGTGAGGGAAGGACGGAGCGTGAGATCGACAGGCAGATCGGTGCTGCATCTGCAGTGATGCGGGCGTTGTACCGGTCTGTCTTGGTGAAGAGAGAGCTGAGTCAGAAGGCAAAAGTCTTGATTTACTGGTCAGTCTACGTTCTACCCTCACCTATGGTCACGAGCTTTAGATAGTGATCGAAAGAACAAGAACAGATACAAGCGAACGAACAGAGTTTTCTTCACATGAAGGCTGGGCTCTCCCTTAAAGATAGGGTGAGAAGCTCGGTCACCCGGGAGGGGCTCAGAGTAGATCCGCTGGAAGAGCTGGCCCAATAGGCTGGGGAGAGGGAAGTCTGGGCCTCTTGACTTAGGCTGATACCCCACGACCCAACTGCAGATGATGGGAAGAAAATGGATGGATGGATGGATGGATGGATGGATATATCTCTCATTCAAAATAAATAAAAATAAAAAAAATGAACAAAAAGATGAAGGTACTAATCCTGATACGTGCTGGAGACTTTAGGGAAGAAGTGGTTTCATGAGTTTGTGACTTAGTTTTCGAGGGGTTAGCAATTGTGCAAATGTCAGTGAAAACCCACTAGCTCTGCTTTACCTCTGCATTTACTTACGTGCCTGACAGCTAAAGAGTGTGGAGGAGTCCTGACTGAGCAGCAGAAGATCATCCAGTCTCCTGGATTCCCTGAGGAGTACCAAGACGAGCTGATCTGTTACTGGCACATCCGAGCTCGTCTGGGTCAGAGGATTCACCTCCACTTCCTGGAGTTTGATGTGGAGGACGACACGTCATGCCTGGCGGATTACCTGGAGGTGTACGACAGTTACGACGACGTGTCGGGCTTTGTTGGGAGGCGAGTGATGCTGCTGTGATCAGGAGGAGCGCAGCAAGTGCTCCTGAGTCTTAGGATTTTTTATTTTTGTAGCTGACTCACATTCTTTTATTCCAGTTCGTGTGCATGACTAATTAAATGACTGTTCTTAAGAACTGCTTTGAATTGCACAAGAGGAAAAGAAACACGGAGCTATAAATCACTTAAATCTAAACTCCTAAAACAAACCAGTGCTGCTTTTATTCAACACAGACAACTAAACCCAAAAGCAGCATGGTGGTTTCACGTCACACATCAGAGCGGAGAACATTTAAACCCATCTTCTTCTTGTCCTGGAGGTTTCCTCTCATGAGATCCTAATTTTATTCATCTGTTCTCCAGGTTCTGCGGGGATTATCTACCAGATGATGTCATCAGTACGGGTAAGCTAATGGGCATACGTTCCTTGTATTTGTTATCGGGGTTTGTAGCACTGTGCTGGTTAGAACCTACGTTTCTGGTCTTTGTTTGGCATGTTCACGTCCAATCCTGGTTTCAACTGACTGCTGATTTAAGGAGCTGTTGTGCAGAACTGGTATTTTACAGCATTATAAGAACCAAGTGATGTGGGGTGCTATTTGACTTAATAATCCAGTTCTCTGGAGGTTGAGTGACTTTTTGGGATAAACCAAACAGACAGACCTGATGGGGTAAAACCTCTCATTCGGGCTGCAACAGAGCCACTTTAGAAGAATAAAAGGATCATACACAGTTATCTAGTTCTCTGTGATGTTGCTGTTTCGTTCTGGCTGGCTAAAACACTGTACGTGTTTAGTACTGCTACTTCAGTACCAGTATGGTGTTCCCAGTATTACATTTACACAACTTTACTAACGTATGACTACAACACATAAACCCCTCCTCATCCCTCACACGCTCACTTCTGAGAACTAGAATAACTAGAAAAATTGCATTTATTGCACAAATGCTGTTTGAATGCTGGATAGCTGAAACTGTAAGCCGAAGCTGCTGAACAGCTGAAATGAAGATGAAACAAAGTAAAACTGTCAAAATGAGCTGAATGTCTTGAAAGATGTAGAAGCAAAAAGCACCAACAAGCAAATAAAGCACAAAAAGTAAGTGAAGAATAGAGAAAAAATAATGCTAAATAGCAAAAAAAAAAACTTAAATCTGTGAACATTGTATAAAAATCTGGACAGCTTATATGTGTAAACACCTGTTATTTCAGTTTGCCAAGTTTAACAGTTTAATCTTTACATTTAGCTGAACTGTGAAATTAGCAGTTTATGCTAAATTTGGTAACTGATTGCTGAAGTTGTTGAATAGCTGAAGTAAGCTGAAACTTAGCTAAACTGTCAAATGAGCTGAATGTAGTGAAAGATGTGAAAGCAAAAAGCACAAAGAAGCAAAAAAAAAAACACAAAAAGTAAGTGAAGAATCAAGAAAACTAATCCTAAATAGCATCAAGAAAACTAATCCTAAATAGCAGAAAGCTCAAATCTGTGAACACTGTTTAAAAAAAATTGGACAGCTAAAATGTCTAAACACCTGTTATTTCAGTAGGACTAGTTTAACAGTTTCATTTTTACAATTAGCTGAACTGTGAAATTAGCATCATATGCTGAATTCAGAAACTAATTGCTGAAGCTGAAACTAAACAAAACTGTTAAAATGAGCTGAATGTTTTCAAAGATTTAGAAGCAAAAAGCACCAAAATGTAAATAAAGCACAAAAAGTGAAGAACGGAGAAAACAATCCTAAACAGCAGAAAACTGAAATCTGAACATTATTTAAAAATCTGGACAGCAAAAATGTCTAAACACTTGTTGTTTGAGTAGGACTAGTTTAACAGTTTAATTTTTAAGTGTATAGAGTTGGTTGGTTGGTTGGTTGGATGGATGGATGGATGGATGGATTCCTTAGGCCTAGCCGATCGATTTGATGTCTCACATGTGTGGGTGTGTAATTCCATTTAGCCAGAAGATGATTGACCTCTCTCAACCAATCAGGGGGCTGGGTGGGAGCGGGGCACTTTCCCACCTTCTGACGGTCAATCAAATTGAACTTGTCTCTAGTTTTAAGTACAGATAGTTCAAAAGATCAAAAACAGGAGTCTGTTATTGGCTCAATGTTCAGCTTTTTAATATTCATTCCTATGAGACTTGGTTAAAGTGATATGTAGTTCCTTGTGTTGCCATGGTAACAGATAACGCATTTAAAATTGAATACAAGATTCCTGAGACCAAACTGGTCGATTTGATGTGTCATGTGCTGGATCCTGATTGGACAGAAAATGGTTGAACACTCTCAACCAATCAGAGAGCAGCACTGTTTTCCCGCCTTTTCCCCTGGCTGTTGGAGGCCTGCAGCTGTACTCCTGTTAATGAGAGAAGCCTTAAAATCTGTCCTTCAGAAGTGAAATTGGACCTGTCAAACTTCTCATCACCATTCAAAAAGTTCTGCACCCAATTCAAAAATTCAAAAAGCGTGAGCAGCAGAAGGCTTTGATGATCATCTGTCAATGTTTTATGTGGCTACCATGAATTTTCTAGAAGCTATGACGAGAAACTTTTAGCTGTCTGAAGCCGATCAGAGGAGAAAATCTCTGTTCCTTTAACATGGGTTTCAATGAGGGAAAATCTGGGTCTCTCCTCTTTCTGAGGCTTGTAGCGAAAGAACGGTAACACTCACAGATAAAATGAAACCCATTCTGAAAAGCTGACAAAAATTCCTACTTTTTGAGTTATAATTTGTTTTGGTAGTCCAAACGGTCTGGGGGTAGTAAAGAGTTGTCCACAGAAGATGTGAAGTTCAAAAGTTAGAGTGCGGAATTTTCAGTTAGAGTGCAGAGAGAAATTTTTTAAATTTGATTTTTCTCAAATGAACCATATGACCACAATGTTTGGAGTACAGTCATGAATTATAGCTCAAAACGAAGGTATGTCCGTTAGCTGTAAGCCATTGTGTGTCTCATTTCAATCGGACCTACGGTTCTCTCGGGACAACGCCAGAAATGGAGCAAGGGAGGGTCACTGCTCCTATCTTGCCCCATTATAACTTTTGTGAATTTTACTGAAAATGTCAAGTCGTACCTCAACTTCTACCTGCGATTTTAGAAAAACCGTAAAATACATCAAAAAGCCTCTTCAACATGTTAAACAGGAAAGTCTTGTGAGTTTGTTAAACTTTGAATGAAGTCTCTGAGTTAAAAGGAACCCAATGGAGAACCCAATGGGAAAAATTTCGCAGAAAAAGCTTAATAACTCGAAAAATTTTAAAGATGCCAAAAGTAATAGCCGGAAAGAGCTTAACGAGCTGAAAGTTTTGATATAAAATTGTTGAAATAGCTCAAAATCTGAAGGAGAAGAAGAGGTTCAAAAAGTGTACGGAAGCAGAAGAAGAAGAAGAAGAAGAAGAAAATAGTTTGAATGCTTAACAGCATTCAAACAATAAAGAAAAACAGGAAAACAATAGTTTGAATAACAGCATTCAAACAATGATGAAAAACAGGAAATTAATAGTTTGAATGCTTAACAGCATTTATACCATTCAAACAATTAGAAGCATGTGAGGACAGAACATTTAAACCTCCAGGGGCTGTTTAAGCTAGCCAAACGTCAGCTAAGCTTTTATTCTCCACATTTCCTCAGCTGTTGGTAATAAATCTTGACGTTTGGGTAATTTGGATGCTCAAATATGCACTTTTTGTCTCCTTTGTTACAGGAAACGTGATGACCCTGAAGTTTCTCTCTGATGCTTCGGTCACAGCCGGTGGCTTCCAGCTACAGTACGTAGCTGTAAATGCGTCTGTCATCACACAGAATTAAAGGCATCACCTCTACTGAAGGCTCCTCCCACTGTCTTCAGCCTGTTACTGAATGTGTGTTGTTATTACCTCATGCTTTGTATTTAATACGTTTTGTCAGCTCAATAAAGGAATGGTTCTGTAAAATAAACCAGGCTGAGCTGGATGTTTTTTCTGCAATCTGGAAAAGTAACTGAAGTTGGTGTTTATTGATGTGCTAAGACAGAAGACCCAAACTGATAAAACCCTTTAGGGTTCATTTGTAAGTAAACAACAACAACCCGGCTCTGATTGTGCAGGAGGGGCAGAATCCAGAGCAGCAGGTTCGTCAAACACAAGCCCAGTTCAGGTTTGGTAATCCTGTTGGAACCGTGTGTGTGTGTGTGTGTGTGTGTGTGTGTGTGTGAGTGAGTGAGATAGTGTGTGTGTGTGTGCATGTGTGTGTGTGTGTGTGTGTGTGTTTGTGTGTGTGTGTGTGTGTTCCAGCACAGGCCGTATCCTGCAGCGGTTTGCACTGACGACAAACGTGATTTGGTTCTTCAAGAGGAGAATCACGTGTGCATGGTTGTTGCATTTTCATTCACAGGCGTGCCAAGAGGGGTCTGACATGTCTCCTGTGTGGGATTGTTTTAAATTCCCCAAAAAGCCAAAGGAGAATTTCAATAACTCGGCCAACTCGAATTACAAGAAATAGTGCAACACTGATCGACAATATTTTTAAAATATACTTGAAAATGATGTGTTAAGTGGTCTTATAATTACTGATATATCTGATCATTTACCGTTTTTTTTTTCAGTCGTACGAAGGACAACCACAACCACTCAAAGTCATCTGTTGTTGTTACAAGGCTAAAAAGTCAAGAAGCAGTAAACTCATTTCAAACTGACTTAATGGAACAAACTTGGGATGAGGTTTAGTTGGAAGATGTAAATATGGCTTATGAAGATAATCAAGAAATTTATCAGTCCAAAAAAATAGCAAATGAATTCAATAAGTGTTTTACTGAAATTGGGCCAAATATGGCAAAGGATATAGCAAATACTCATTTAGATGCTGATGCTGTAAATAAAATAACAAATTTAGATAAAACCATATTTATTCAAGGCACAAATGAAAATAAAGTTATAACACTTGTTAGAAATTTTAAAAGTAAAAAGTCAGCAGATTTGCATGGATTTGATATGTCTGTTGTAAAAGAAATCATTGAGACTATAACCAAACCACCTACACATATTTATAATCAGTCTCTCCAATCAGGAAGATTTCCTGAAAGGATGAAGGTTGCAAAGGTCATTCCTATCTATAAGGCTGGAGACAAACATGACTTTTCCAATTACAGACCAATTTCTATTTGATCTCAATTCTCCAAAATACTAGAAACAATATTTCATAAAAGATTGTATGACTTTATTGTGCATCATGGTATTCTATGTGAACAGCAATATGGTTTTAGACGTGATCGGACAACTTCTCTGGCAATTGTTGATCTAGTGGAGAAAATATCTGATGCAACTGACAACAAACAATATGCTGTAGGGTGTTCTTAGACCTGACCAAAGCTTTTGATACTGTCAATCATGACTTATTAATCAAACAGTTGTGTAGCTGTAGCATCAGGGGTGTGGCCTATTACTGGATTAAGAGTTATTTAGAGAACAGACTCCAATACGTCCACATTAACAACACTGATTCACTGACAGTGACCACCAGTATCCCTCAGGGGTCAGTGTTAGGTCCTTTGTTATTTATTCTTTATATTAATGACATATGTTTAGTTTAAAAAACACTACATTTCATATTATTTGCAGATTATACTAATGTTCTAAGTTTTGAGAAAAAATTAATAACATTAATGGACAAGGTTGAGAAAGAATTAAATGCATTAAAGCAGGGGTGCCCAATCCTGGTCCTGGAGGGCCGGTATCCAGCAGGTTTTGTGGTTTTTAGGCTCAAGCAGACTCGGTTCAGTGGTTGAAACACCTGTGCAGCAGCTCATCAGGCTCTGCAGAAGCCTGTTAATTAGTTGCTGATTGAAATCAGATGTGTTGAAACAGAGTTCAAACTAAAACATGCAGGATACAAGCCCTCCAGGACCAGTATTGGGCACCCCTGCATTTAAGTGTTGGTTTGATTTAAATAAATAAACTTTAAATTTAAATAATTTATCATATTTACTAATAGAGCAATTACAGTGGATACACATCTTAAAATAAATAACACAGAAATTGAAAGAGTGAGTGAAATAAAAATTTCTTGGCATAACCATAGAAAAAGTTACGTTGGAAACCGCATATTGACTCAATTACAGTTAAGTTATCTAAATCATTAGCAGTTCTCTATAAAGTTAAATAATTTTTTGACGAAAAAGCTTTAGATCTTTTGTATTGTTCATTAATTCTGCCTTTTTTCATGTATTGTGTTGAAGTGTGGGGAAATACCATCGACAATACATATATGGACAATGGGTTTCCATAGACTTCAATAACACGTTTTTGAAGAAAAATGGGAGGTGGCCACCACCGCCATTTTGACCGTGTCACAGGTTTCGTCAAGCCCAGACAATTCCACAAAAGGGAAGAGAGGTGGAGTTGAGGGTGGGGCTGCAAGGCTGGAATCAACTGACGACACCCGGTTGAACTAGCTACAAGCTAACCTGAAGCTAACCCAAAGCTAACGCGGAGGTGTGAGCTAAGCTAACGGAGGTAGCAACCTAGCTACAACCGGAGTTAACTGTGCACAACACCAGAGCTTCTGAGTCAGAGATAAGGGCTGACCGCTGAGTAAAACCGGGTGGAACACAGAGGTCTCCGAGAGCTCTACAAGCCTGCAGCCGCACAGCAGACAAGCGCCACTGTGATCTGAGATACGCAGAGCTGCCGCTGGGGAGAACCGGGTGAAAAACATCGGTCTCCCGAGAGCTCCACAAGCCGATAGTCGGAACCCAACTCCACCAACATGTTATATTTCAACCCATTTTCTAAAGTGCAGCATTATGTTAAATGCACTGGGGTTTACCCTAATACATTTAAATGTCATGGTTAAACAGTACATGTTAAAATCTAAGCTCAGCTCGGCAGTCACCTAAAATACATAAATATAATTTTACTTACCGAAAAAAATGAAGTGGAGACTCCTTGGACGCTCTATTAGTGCAATTAATGCCACAGCAAGTCATTTTGTCCAACAATTGCACAAAAATATCCAAAAAAGAACGCACAAACGCTACAACTAATTGTCTAAGTTTAGAGACTGAAAATGACTGAACAGTTTTCAGGCGAGGCCGAGGCTCTACTGAGGCTTTTCCCCAGAGCTAGCTCTTTGGTCACATGGGTCTGATGCTCATTAATTATACAGAATTTTAGGCTTTTAATACACAAACAGAAGAGTGAGAAAAAAATTCACCCCCCTCAGAGTTGTCATGAGTGTAAACTAGATCATTTAAACCAAAAACATGTTTTGGTACCAGGCTGTATACATGTTTATTTCTGCTGTGAAATTGGTATTTTTAACATGGGAGTCAATGAGGTTTTGCTCGCTTCTGACACCAGCCCCTAGTGGATGAGGGTGGAACTGCAATTTATTTCTGTTCTGCTTTGGACTCAATTTCTGACCCACATTGTGGGGGCTTGGGAAACACCGGGAAACACCTACGAAACCCACTTAAAGCATTTGTTTGTAATTCAATAGAGAGCAATTCGACTTGTAAATAAAGCAGCTTGTAGAGAGCATACACATTTACTTTTTACTCGTTTAATCAATCAAATCTTTATTTATAAAGCGCCTTCCGCAACCCTATCGGGAAGTCCAAGGCGCTGAACAAGGTACAAGAGAAAGTTAAATATGGTGAATAAATCGAAAATTAAAGCAATTCAAATTACAAAAAAAGGTAAAACATTCTAGTAGAAGACAAATGTGTATAACAAGGGATAGAGTGAACCAATGAAAACAGGGAAATAAAATCAACATAAAAGAGGGCCAAATTCTTACATGTTCTGGAAACGCCAAGCGGAGGAGGTGGGTTTTTAGGTGACTCTTAAAGACTGGCAGAGATGGGGACAGCCTAACTGAGGGTGGCAACTGGTTCCAGAGTGACGGTGCTAGGACTGAGAAAGCCCGGTCCCCGCGAGTACGACATTTAGAACGAGGGACAGCGAGCAGGCCTTGGTCGGAGGAGCGCAGAGCGCGTGATGGGGAGTGTCTGTTCAGGAGTGTGGCCAGATAGGGGGGACCACCACCCTGGATGAAATTATAAACAAAGACCAGGAGTTTGAAGTGTGAATGATAACAGGCCGGAAGCCAGTGTAGGGAGGCCAGAACCAGACTGATGTGGTCCCGTTTCCTGGTCCCAGTCAGGAACCTGGCTGCGCTGTCCTGCACAACCTGTAGGCGACGCAGTGTTGACTGACACAACCCTGCATAGAGAGAGTTGCTGTAGTCAAGCCGAGAAATTACAAAGGCATGCAGTACCCGCTCCAGGTGGGCTCTCGACAGCATGGGCTTGATTTTTGCAAGGCGTCTCAGGTGAAAGAAACTGGACCGGATCACAGAGTTGATGTGAGCATTGTTACGACCCCAACCTGGTCTAGGAGCCAGGGAGGTCTTACACAGAAACGTGAGAAATTAAAGGAAACGATCTGACACCAAGTCACAATCAAAGAAAGTCCTTTATTAACTAAAAGCATCCCAACGGGAGGAAAAACCTGTTTAATTAAATGGGGAGTTTAACTTAGGCTGCAGGAGACAAAACTGAGGACTAAGTAACTTCATAGAGATTAAATGAGAACTAAAAACTCACTGGTTCCAAAAGTGAAAATCAGGAACAACAGAAACTTGCCCGAAGGCCTTACCAAAAGTCCACTGGTGACTAACTCACCTACACAACCGTCAGCTCTGTTAAGAGCAAAAGGAAAACAAACATCTTGAAAGTTTTCCCAAGCAGGTGGAAATTAACCATCCGGGGGCAACTATGAGTTCCCAAAAGTTCACAATCACAAGTCTCTCCTTTCTGCGTCCTCTCTCCGCTCGCTGTGCCTCCCTCTCTGCTCGCTGTGCCTCCCTCTCTGCTCGCTGTGCCTCCTCTTCTCCGAGCAGCGTTGATCTTTATCTCCTCCAACTGGGTGATTTCTGATGAGCGTCAGCTGCGTGAGTGA